AACTTATTTGCATATGCCACACCCCCTGACATCACTGGAAGTGTGTCAGTAGGCAACACCCACCGCTCAGGCTCCACTGGACTGTTTTGGGTTGCTAGCTATTCGGGGTGGGGGGGGATGTGCAGATCTGCCCTCACAGAGGAGGGAGAGCTTGTACCTGAATAGAACTTGGTCTTAAAGGTGCCACTGGACTGTTTTGGACTGGGGGGCCAGGGGGGCTCTGCAACTTACCTGGCTGCTTCTTGTTCTGACTGAGGGCTGCTGGGAGTAGGGGGTGGGGCTTGTTGCATGTGCCTGCCCCCTGGACTCTTTACTGCCGGAGCTCCGCTCCTGTGCGCTCCTGCAGGAAATGACCCTTGGTCATGCCAAAGCTACAGGGACTGGGCATTATAAGGCAGAGAGCCAGGTGAGTGCCCTCTAGGGGGAGCCAGAGAAAACCACTGCCCTCTGGGCCCATGACACGCTATGAAACCGGCCCCAAATTGCCCTGCAAGGAATTCCCCTGCAACAAGTTGTACTTTGGAGTGAGAAGGCCTTGGTGCTCTTGGGGAATGGTGGTCTAGAAATCAAACCAAATAAATAAATAAACTCAGGTAGGAATGATCATTTTCGCCGACTTCTTTCCTTTAGTTTTACATGGACTGTCATGTGCTATGTTCCACTTCCCAAACTGAAGTTTAACTAGGAGAATTTCTAACATTCACTCCGGATTTAGATCATGCAGTTTACTGCAGGATCCAGTTCTTCTGTTCACTAAGCCTTTTCCCTGTTTATGTGCCCAATGTGCATGTGCCCGTTGCTAAAAGACTGCCAAAATGCAATTTTGGTGAGATCATGCTTACTGTCATATGGGAATTCTTTTTGTGTGGTGGTGTGCTGATGCACAGATGTAGTTCTATGCATGGGGGGGAAACACTACACAAAAATAATATTTATGCAACATAGGCACAAATGCATCAAACTTGCTTTTTTGCAGTGTTTAGACAACGCACATGTGTACATCACTACGACCGAGGATGGAAAAGACATGCAGGAGCTAACAGCTGCTTTATACCAAATCCAGCTATCGGTCCATTAAGGTTAGTACTATCCACTCACATGGCAGCATCTCTCCGGGGCCTCAGAAAGACTTCCACATCACCTATACCCTGATCATTTTTTAAAACCAGAGATGACAAGGATTGAACCTGGGACCTTCTGCAGGCCAAGCAGATGTTGTACCACTGAGCCACAGTCCCTCCCCACAGTGGGTGGTACAAAACTAGGACATTCAAATAAACAAACTGGTTCCGCATTTCTAATGTGTCGGTACAAAAACAGAGAACCACAGCTCTTGGAGCAGTACAAGGGAAGAGCAATAAAAGCTGTGCATGTGTCCGCTAGATAACACTGCCAGAGTCAATAATAACAACAAGATATATTATAATAAAGACCCAAAATCGTATGTATGTGCAAAAAGAGGTCCAAAACAATAAAGTTAACAAAGTTTTCCAGATGACAAAGTCGTTTCGTAGTCTTCATCCGAACAGGACCATGTTTTATCTTTTAACGCTGCAGAACTTCATTTTTTTGCACGTTGCCTAGTTCTATAAACAGTCAACCGGTCAAGAGTTTTCATGCTATTAAAGTGCGTCTGTTTCTGAAGCCGGGCCATCGGCATTAGTGAGTAGAAATGAAGCCTCTACTAATGTGTCAGTCCTGCATGGGAAATCAGACTGGGGGATTTGGACCTAAAAAGAATTGGGGAGGGAGAAATCCGGATGACGACAATTTCGGAAGAACCCTTGAACGAGTGAGTCCCAGTTAGTCTGCCAATGCCAACCCCTCCTTGGGAAATACCTGAAGATTTGGACATGGAGCTTGGGAACGGTGGGCTTGGGGAGGGGAGGAACCTCAATGGGGCACAACGCCATACGGGCCACCCTCCAAAGCAGCCGTTTTCTCCAGGGGCACGGATCTCTGTCATCTGCTGTCATTCCAGGAGATCTCCACACACACCCCACCCAGTGCCAGCCTTCATCCTGATGCGCGCACATCACTCACACAGCATGAGAAACCTACCAGAGGTAGTGCTGCCTGTCTTTCATTGACAGCCATTCACTTTGACCGTACCAGATTCTTTCCCCAGTATCAGGCTCCGAAACTTTGAGCGGCACGGAAGGGTGATGCCAATCACACAGCTGTTTCCTGGCCTAGTTCTGACAAAGAGTCGAGGAGGAGGAATGTGTGCGTCTAGGCAGTGAAATGTCATACTGCAGATGAGGGCTTGCAAGAGGGGGGGGCCGGGAACAATGAACCACAGTAAGCTCGAGAAAGGCTCTAACCCACTCCCTAACATGGTCGTTTTCTAGGGGAAAGGAGTTCTGTTTGTTTTATGGAACGATATCCGATCACATCTTGGGGAAGGGGCTGTGGCTCGGTGGCAGAGCCCCTGCTCTGCGTGCAGGAGGTCCCAGGTTCAATCCCTGGCATCTCCACGGTTAAAAAAGGATAGTGGTGGTAGGCAGTGTTCCCTCTAAGCTGAGGTAGTGTGAGCTAGCTCACAGTTCTTTAGCCTCCAGCTCGCAGCTTTCCGCCTTAGCTCAGGAAGGGATGGCTCCAGAGCAAACTAGGTTGTGCAGCAGCCAAATGGCTCGCTCCCAACTTTAATGGCAGTAGCTCAAAAAGCGGAATTTTTGCTCACAACAGTTTAGAGGGAGCATTGGTGGTAGGAGATGTGACAGAGCCCCCCCCCCGCCTGAGACCCTGGGGGGCAGCTGCCAGTCTGAGTAGACAATACAGGCCTCAATGGACCCATGCTCTGCAGCTTCACGCGTGCATGCACATGATGCATGTTTACAGCCCTATCTGCTATTTGGGGAAATTAGGCCTTTAAAAATTTGAACCATGTACCCATCTGATTCCCGAACACTGTACAGCACAGCTGGCGGCACATGGGGGGGGTGTCTTTGGTGCCAAGTCACTGCCTTCCCACTCCGCTAACAGCCACAGGGCCAGCCGCAGGTTTTTTATCAGGAATGATCACATTTCTAAAGATTCCGTCCTGTTAACAATTCGATCCCTTTCTATTCCGGGAGATCCGTTCCAAATGCAACCCATCAAAATCCGGAGATTTCAACTGCAGTCAGTGGAGCAGAGGATCCCACTGCTATCTCCAGTCATGGAAGATAGTTCCAGGTGGTCAGAATGGAGGGTCTCAGTTTAGTTCGCACAATTAGAAAAGACACCTTTACACATTTATCTCCTATTTTGACATATTTATCGCTTGACGGTTTCCCCTTTTAATTAAATCAAAACAACGGTTGACCTCAGCTTGTTATTTAGTTTTGTCTTTGCACATCTTAAAACATCCTCATCATGTTACATGTTAGTTTGCTGTTCGGCCTATAAGTTTGAACTCTTACCTTCCGTTCCAATGTACCTGAAAAGGTATGCCTGCACACAAAAGCTCATACTTTCAATAAACCTCTGTTGGTCTCAAAGGTGCCACTGGACTCCAAATTTTTCACCAGCCAGGGACGTTTTCTATCTTTGGCTACTATTTTGGGAAGGGGATTCTTTTTCCTGACAATCCATACCTCCTTGAAACTCCCTCGGAAGGGGAGCAGATGGGAATCTGACACGGCCAAGTTTGCTGTTAAACCAAACCCTGCAGCAGCCAATCACGGCTCCAGATTCTGCAGTGCGATCTCAACGGCCTCATCCTTCCCTTTCCTTGGGGTTTCCACAGCGCAGCAAGCCTGCCTCTCAGTTGGTGGTCTGGGATCTGTGTGCCCATGCAAGAGAAACCCACTGAACACCCACCCAGGCTTTTGAAAATGAAACTGGAGCAGGCCGTCAGCCGCTAAGTCGGGGGTCCCCAATCTTTTTGAGCCTGTGGGCACGTTTGGAATTCTGGCACAAGTTGGTGGGTGTAAAAACAAAACGGCTGCCGCAGGAGACCGAGCCAGCCACAAAACGTCAGGGAGGGAGGTCATGCATAACTCTCATCGTAACTTCAACATTTAAGGCAGAAGCTCTGTTTAACGGCGGGCCCCTTAATCTGCACAGCCAATCAGAAGCCCTGTTGGGCACAAGCCCCACCTGGCCTTGCCCACGGGCCACTTCCACACTGTCGTTTTTGTCACTCGTTTTTCCCCTATTGCTTTGGGTCCGTCCCCCCTTTCCAGATGTGTTTCGCTCCCTCTGGGACTACTAAAGGTTCCCTTGCTCGAAAGCCAGTAGAATCCAACTCTAGGGTTGCGGTGCTCATGTCCGTTTCAAAGCCGAAGAGCCAGCGCTGTCCAAAGATGTTTCCGTGGTCATGTGGCCGGCATGACTAAACACCAAGGCGCACGGAACTCTGGGACTACTAGAGAACACAAAACACATGGAGGGGGTACCCCGAAGCAATAGGGACAAACGAGTTACAGAAATGACAGTGCACAAGTGGCCACTGTCTAAAGACACTTGGCGGGCAATGGGAAAGGTACTGACAGGCATCACAGCGCCCACGGGCGCCATGTTGGGGACCCATGTGGGAAGCAGTGTTAGCACTGGTTCCTCCTTCTATAGTAGCCCTAACACCTGGGGACCCTATTTCAGGTGGAAAGGCGGTATATATATATATGTTTCAAATAAATAAACCAATAACACGCCTGGTGGGTGGGACAGCAGTGCTGCTTGTCCGCCGGATGGGCAGCTACGCCAAGCAGGGTGGCCTCCAGTGTTCCCTCTAAGCTGAGTTAGTGTGAGCCAGCTCACAGTTTTTTAGCCTCCGGCTCACACATTTTTGTCCCAGCTCAGGAAGGACGGCTCTGGAGCAAACTAATTCATGCAGTAGCCAAATCACTCGCTCACAGCCTGAATGCCAGCGGCTCACAAAGTAGAACTTTTGCTCACCAGACTCCACAGCTTAGAGGGAACATTGGACTGCCCTCCTGTACCAGCACTCAGATCCAGGCTCTCCTCAAGCGGGCGGAAGCGCCCATCCTCTGCTGTTGCCCCTCCCAGTCCGGTACCTTCTCATAGTACTGAAGCTCGTAGTCCAGGATGACTCCGTTGGGCTGGTCCGGCTGCGACCACGAGAGGGTGATGCTGTCCACGGTCCGGCTCACCTGGTGCATGATGGACACAGCTGAAGGGGCTGCGAGAGAAAGCATCGGAAACCATCAATGACTCCCCAGTCTCTGAATTCTCTGGGCTCTTGGGAAATCGAGATATCGCTCCTCCGCTCTCCCCTGGCTAGGCAAAACATCTCGCGGCTGCCGTTGTGTTCAGCGTGCACCGCCAAGCAAGCAAGCCGTATATGGCCTGCCACTGCAGACTAGTGCGGGCACTGCCACGACAGTTGTAGCCAAAGAAATCAATAGTCATTAGATCCAAAACAGAGAGAAAGAAAGTCCTTTTTCATGCCGTGCATGTTTTATCTTAGGGAACCCGAGGCCTCAAGATGTGGTTATGACCACTAGCTTAAAGAGCCAGTTTGGTGTAATGGTTAGGAGCAAGGACTCTAATTGGGAGAACCGGGTTTGATTCCCCACTCCTCCACATGCAGCTACTGGTGTGACCTTGGGTCACTCATGGCTCTCTCAGAGCTGTTCTTGAAAAAGAGCCGTTTCTGTCAGAGCTCTCTCAGCCCCGCCTACCTCACAGGGTGTCTGTTGTGGGGAGGGGAAGGAGTTTGTAAGCCGCTCTGAGACTCCTTTGGGTACTGAAGGGTGGGGTATAAATCCAATCTCTTCTTCTTCTTCTTCTAAAGGGCAATGGACCAATTTATGGAGGAGGGGATCTCTCTATAGCAAGGGTCCCTAAGCTTTTTGCGCCTGCAAACACCTTCTGGCACAGTGCCGTGGGCCGCAGCCCCAAAATGGCTGCTGTAAAATGGCTGCCACAGGAGGCAGAGCCAGCCACAAAATGGCCGCCGCCGCTTCCCTTCAATCACACAGCAAAGATCCTTGTGCTGTGTTGGCAGCCGCTGCCACAGCAACGTTTCTGCACAGCCAATCAAAACGGCTGTGTCGGCAGCCTTGGTGGGCAAAAGCCCCACCCAATTTCGAAAAACACTTGGCGGGTGTCAGGAGAAGTGTCGGAGGGCACCATGGCTGCCCTATAGCTATCAGCCATGATAGGTTTCCCAGAAGCATCTGTATGGTCATTGTGAGAAAGATGCTGGACTAGGTGGACCTTGGGTTTGATCCAGCACGGCACCTCTTACGTTCTTCCAGCAGCTGAATTCTCCACCACTACCCAATTAAGACAGACATTACAGGGACTCGTAGTAACAAATAAGTTGTTCTAAACAGCAATGCGACTGCCTGGAACATGCGTGTTCTCATGCCCGCTTGCTGTTCTTGTCCTGCATCCCATCTCACACAATGGCCAACCAGTTCCTCTGCAAGGCCAACCACAGAGCACAGAGGCCAAGGCCTTCCCTTGATGTTGCCTCCTGGCTCTGGGATTCAGAGGCTGACTGCCTCTGCACGTGGAGGTTCGCTTTAGTCACCATGGCCAGTAGCCACTGCTAGACCTCTCCTCTATGGATCTGTCTAATCTGCTTGCTGATCAACCTGTTGGCTATATTTGGGACAGATCGCCATTTGTCCTTCCAGCTCTGGAAGGCATCAGGGCCTCCACAGGATCCTAGGCATGATGTGGGAGGCTTAGCAAGGTGGCACTGCCCAGTAACGGTAACCTCTCCTTCCCCAGCCCTTTGGCACTCTCGGTGGCGCAGATGAGCTCCACTCGTCTCCCTAATAGCTCTTCACACTTACAGCCAGCCAAGTCAGGAAATCTTTCCCATCCAGTGAACGCCTCTGCCGTCAGAGTTCTCGTTACCGAAGGCCGTCAATCACCGCGCCTGACTGGCCTTTGTGCCAGCATCCGCTCTCCTGACCTGGCTGGACCCCTGCTCCTCCCGCCAGGAGCAGGCCCCACCCCGGCCCTCCGCTCTCTCCCCACCCCCCAAGCGCAGGGGAAACTCAGCACGACAAGCAATCCGGGTCAGGGAAGTGTCGGGTATCTCGGAAATAAGCAGTAATTGTGGAAACGGCCGTCTAATGCTCACGGCAATTCATTATGATAAAATTGACACGGCTCAGTGGGGATCCGTCAGACGATGGAGAATTTGTGTCAGGCAAATGAAAGAACAAAAGGCTTCTTCTGCGGGGGCTTTGCGGCTCCCGTGGGGTGAGGGGGCGAGAGGAGGGAAGGGAGGTTACCTAGTCGCACGATTAATAGGGCCGGTGTGCCTGGGATGATGTGAGGGGCTGGATCCGGAACAGCGTTGGATCCGGGCGGACTGCCGCGTGTGGAGTGAAACTTTTGTGGATCCTCTGTTTGTGTCAGCCTGAAATGCCCCCTGAATTCTGTTTGGGGGCATCCCTTCTCCGCCCAGGAGCAGGACTTGGGGGTGTATTTCAGGCTGCCTCGAGCATTTCAAAATGCCTTGTTATATCAAACCTCCTCTTTGTGTACGCAGGCACTAAGGGGTGGGTCGATTCCCAGGGAATGGGTGTTTGAGCCCAGGATTTGTGGGGAGACACCCTGGTCTTGAGATGTGGGTAGAGGGCACATCATCCAACCACCTCGTTGGGCTCAAATCCCCACGCTAGCGGGAAGTTCACAGGATGTCCTCGAGCCAAGTCATTCTCCCTCAGCCTAATCTACCTTGCAGGGTTGTTGTGAGGATAAAGCGGAAGAGGGAGAAGAAGAGAAGCTAAGCCGGTCTGGGTCTCCCCGGTGCCTGGATGGAAGACTGTTCCAGGGATCCTGACGCGCATCACTTTGAGATGGCCAACAGAACAAAGTTGGGAGAGAAACGGAACGCAACCCTTTTTCAACTGTAGCCACCATTGTATGGTGGTTTCCCCTGACCAAAGTAGAAAACGGTGACAAGGGTGCCTTAGTAGTGGCACATGGGACATTTGTTATTGATTTAAAAATCGTGTGCTGTCTCTCCACAATAGGTGGAGCCAGTTTGGTGCAGTGGTTAAGTGCGCGGACTCTAATCTGGGAGAACCGGGTTTGATTCCCCCCTCCTCCACTTGCACCTGGCTGGATGACCTTGGGCAAGCCGTAGTTCTGATAAGAGCTGTTCTCACAGGAGCAGTCCTTGAAGGGGCTCTCTCAGCCCCACCTACCTCACAGGGTGTCTGTTGTGGGGAGGGGAAGGGAAAGGAGTTTGTAAGCCGCTCTGAGACTCCCTTGGGTAGTGAAGGGAGGGGTATAAATCCAATCTCCTCCTCTTCTTCTTCTAGGTGCCCAAGGCATCTCACAGACATAAAGTAACAATAAAATCCAGATTATCAACCAACCCAAGAGTCAACCAGACAAACTAAGAACCCGTTAACAACCACTACGGTGCAGAGGTTCAAAGTGTTGGATTCGTATTTGGGAGATGCAGGTATGAATCCCCACTCGTGCCATGGAAGCTTGCTGGGGGACCTTGAGCCAGTCACATTCTTTCAGCCTGACCTACCTCACAGGGTTGCTGTGAGGATAAAATGGAAGAGAGTAGAAAGATGTAAGCCGGTTTGGGTCCCCATTGGGGAGAAAGGAAGGGTAGAAATAAATTGAATGCATTAATGAATAAATAAAGATAAAAGACATCAGAAACATAACCCACCCCCATGCAATAAATAAGAAGTAACCAAAAAGAAATGCTTGTTGGCAGAGGATCAGCACCAGGGAGACACAGTCTTTTCTGTGGTGGCTCCTCGTCTAGCTCCCTCCTTAGACATATTTGCTGCTTTCTCTGGCCCAGTTCAAACATGGCGTGAACCAATGGCTCCATTAAACTAACATTATTCAGTGTAATTGGCTGAATGTGGGCCACTACACTAAACAGGGATCGCTAATGTCTGTGTCAGTCGAGCTGCAGCGACAGTCCACAGCTGAATTTCCCTGAGCCGACAAGACAATCCAGCTGTGCTACAGCAAGAAGCCACAGCTGGATCTCCCAGAGTGGACATGGCAATCCAGCTGTGCTGCAGCAATAACCCCTGACCAGATTTCCCTGTGCAGACAAAGCAACCTGGTTGTTCTTCAACAACCACCCACATCTGGATTTCCTTGAGCAGGCAAGGCGGTCCGGTTGTGCTAGAGCAATAATCCACAACCAGATTTTCCTGTGTGAACAAGGCAATCCAGCTGTGCCATACAAATGATCCACGGCCGAATTTTCCAGTGTGGACGAGGCAACCTGGTTGCAAACTGTTGGGATTCTTTTTTAAGTAAGTCAGCAGAGTATTAAGAGACTGAGTCCATGGTGTGTATTAAAATATAAAAGTTTACTATAAACCTAACATGGGAAAAGGTACACAGGATATAAAATAACAAAGAGCTAATATGCCTACATCTTTGCAGCTAAAGGTAAAACGGGAAGAGCCGAATGGCGTCTCCTTCTCAGTCAGAACAAAGAGAGGAAGGAGAAACCAATATGGTAAATACTTGACACCTTGGTTTCCAATCAGACTAGCAAATTAGCTCCAAAGTTCCCGGGCATTCTCTTGTCTAAACAGATTGGTTAAAAACAAACATGTGAATTAACAAACATCATTAACCCTGTAAATACTGAAGTGTTTTGACTTGTAACACCCAACACAAACTCATGCTTTAGCACTATGATCGAACGACAGCCAACAACATGTCAACAGATCCACTGGCCGCAGATTGGCAGGAATAATAATGCGGGACTGCAGAGGGTGGTGGTGGTGGTAGAAGACCCCAATAAACTCCCCTCCCTGCCTCTGGCCATCGCATTGGCAAACCGCTGTTCATCTCATGGTGGGTGGGTCGGAGAGGGGGAAGCCAACTGACATGCCAGCCACGAAACGGGCGGGCCCTTCTCTGGTTTCTCTTTCAAGCCTGCCACCCACACCAGCACCAATCCATTTTACCGCTCGCTTCCCTCCCTCCCTCCTGTCAGCTGCCAGGTCTGCAGAGCCAATCTCATCCCCCCCCCAACCACCACTACCACCACCACCACCGAAGCCTCTCTGCCCCCCATGCCCCATCCTGGAGTAATCAAAGAGCTCCTTGGTTGCTCCGGCTCAGCCGCAGGGGTTGGGTTACCGGCAGCAGAATCCATCTCTGATCACATTAATCCCCGCAACTCGTGTCTGAGTCGCAAAGGCGGCAACAGAG